TGAGCGGCCCTCAAGCCGCTGTGAGCGGCTGTCCAGAAGCTGGCGACTGATCTGCCTCGCCGGGAGGAGTGCAGTGATGGTGCCAATTTGGGTCAGTAAAGCAACGTCCTCCACAACTAGACTGAAGAACAAAAGGACAGCAACTTGTTTGTTTCCCTTCCCCCAATTCCCCAGTGCTGTTCCCATCCCCCAATTCCCCAATTTAAAAAAAAAAAAAAAGGACAGAAGAAAAAGCACCTGGACAGCCACGCCCTGGGCCGTACTCCCACCTCCCTCAATTGCCCTACCCTCTCTTATTGCAACAGCCTTTTGCACCTTTCTAGGAGCGTGGCTTGGGAGGGAGGGCTTAAGCTGGTCCTGGATTGGGCTTGGGCCTGAGTTCTAGGCTCAGAGTGGCAGTAAAGGGGACAGGCAGGCACAGGGTAATGACTGAGCCTTATCCCTCCTAGAGATAGAGCAGTGTTTCTAGGCCTGTTAGACTCTCCTCCACATCTTTTTTTGGGGGATCAACCTTATTGAGGTATAATTTATATACAATAAACCACATACGTTAGACTAGGGGTCCACAAACTGCGGCTCGCGTGAGCCACATGTGGCTTTTTGGGTACATTCTGTCTCAAAAGTTTGCCAACCCCTGGAAGAACCAATCCTGTCCCTCACAATTTAAAAATTATTCGAGAGCCATAAATATATTTTTACATAATCACTATTATGTGAATAATATCCTTTAAAAATTTTATAAATGACACTATGATAGTTCTAGTTTCATTTTCAGTTTTACTTCAGAGCCACGTGCACATACCCAAAGAGCCGCATGTAGCTCGTGAGCCGCAGTTTGCTGACCCCTGGCGGCCCTTCCATCTCAAAAGTTTACTGACCCCTGCATTAGACAATTGGATGAGTTGTGACAGATGCGTTCACTCGTGAAAAACCATCACCATTAAGATACAGCATATCCTCACCACCCCCAAATTTCCCTATGCTCCTTCGTAGTATTTTCTTCCCTCCACCCCCAGGCCTAGGCAACCACCTATCTGCTTTGGGTCACTAAGGATTAGAATTTCACATTACTAGAATCATAGTATGTGATTTTGCGTCTGGCTTCCTTTGAAGCTTTTTAGATTTAGTCATGTTTTCGTATGGGATCAGTGGTTCATTTCTTTTTAATCAGTGAGGAGGATTCCATTGTCTGCATGTACACAGTTTGTTGACCTCACCTGTTAATGGACATTGGGTGGTTTCCACCTTAGGGCCATTGTGTATAAAGGTGCATTTGGACACAGGTCTTTGCATGCCATCCACTTTTCATAACAAGTATTTTGTATCATCCAGGGGCGATACACAAAGTATTTACTATTTGGTAAATGCATTGGCCCATCCAACAGCATCTGGGACAAGGACCCCCCTTCCCTCCCAAAGCCCAGTGTTAACCCCTTGGCTGCTGGGTCAGGAGGAGGTC